CAGCAGTCGGCCGCATCGGCGCTTCCGAAAGGGCAGGGGGCGGCGGTGATTCGCCGTAGGCGTCTTCGATCCGCCGCCCCCTGTCGATTCATCGCAGGGGTGCCTGGCGTGCCAGACTGTTACGGTTTTGGTTTTGGTTCTTTTTCCAAAAGAACTCTCCCAGTGGGTTTCGGCCCGTCCCGCCGGGGTCCCGGGAGGATTGCCAAGGACCTCAATTCCCCAATTTCCTGCCCAAGACGGCTCCAAGATGGCCTCCAAGATGCCTCCAAGACGGCCAGGATGGCCTCCAAGACGGCTCAGATGGCTTTCAGATGCCTCCAAGACGGCCCAAGAGAGCCCAAGATGGCCCAAGAAGACCCAAGAGGCCCCCCAGAGGCCTCCCAGACGGCCTAAGAGGCCTCCAAGAGGTCCTCCAGGAGGGCCCGAAGAGGCCAAAATACTTGATTTTCCTTGGGTTTTTGAAGGATTCTGGAATTTGCTTATTCTCTGCATTCCGACGGCTCAAGACGGCCCAAGAGGCCCCCACGATCGCCCCAGAGGCCCCCAAGAGGGCCCCATGACGGCCCAAGTGGCCTCCAAGACGGCCCCAAGAGGGCATCAAGACGGCTCAAGAGGCCTCCAACACGCCCAAGATGGCCTCCAAGACGCCCAAGATGGCCTCCAAGACGGCCCCGAAGCGCCCCAAGAGGGCCCCCAGTCGGCCCCGAAAGGCCCCCAAGACGGCTCCCAACGGCGTCGGACGTGCCAGGAACCCACCAAGATGGCCGAAGTTGGCTCGAAGCTGGCCCAAGACGGCCCACGAGGCCCCCAAGATGGCCTCCAAGACGCCCAAGATGGCCTCCAAGACGGCCCCGAAGCGCCCCAAGAGGGCCCCCAGTCGGCCCCGAAAGGCCCTCAAGACCAAGATGGCCGAAGTTGGCTCGAAGCTGGCCCAAGACGGCCCACGAGGCCCCCAAGAGGGCCTCCAGGAAGGCCAGAAGAGGCCCAAAACCTTGATTTTCCTAAGGTGTTTGACGGATTTTGACATTTACTTCTTTTCGGCCTGCCGACGGCCCGAGACGGCCCCAGAGCCCCCAAAGATCACCCAAAGATCGCCCAAGAGGCCTCCAAGAGGGCCCCAAGACGGCCCCAAGAGGCCCCCAAGACGGCACAGGAGGCCTTGAAAACGCCCAAGATGGCCTCCAAGACGGCCCTGAAGCATTCCATGAGGGCCCCAAGTCGGCCCATAGAGGCCCCCCAAACAGCTTCCGACGGCGTCAGACGGACCAGGAGCCCACCAAGACGGCCGAACATGGCCCTAAGATGGCCCAAGACGGCCCAAGAGGCCTCCCAGAGGGCCTCCAGGAAGGCCCGAAAAGGCCAAAATCATTGATTTCCCATGGGTCTTTGAAGGATTGTGGCATTTGCTTTTTTTCTGCCTTCCGACGGCCCGAGACGGCCCAAGTGCCCCCAAAGATCGCCCAAGAGGCCCAAGACACGGCCCAAAGAGGCCCCGAAGACGGCCCAAGAGGCCTCCAAGGCGCTCAAGATGGCCTCCGAGACGGTCCAAGAGCCCTCCAAGACCTCCTCCAAGAAGACCCGAAAGGGTCCAAATGGCGTCCAGACGGCCAAGATGACCTTCAAGGTGCCCACGTGTTCCCTCCCCGAAGGCTTTCCAAACCGATTCGATTCGGGGAGCACATGGTGCGATGGCTTGGCAGGTCTGGCCTCAACGATCGGCCACGTCGGCGCTTCCAAAAAGGCAGGGGGCGGCGGTGATTCGCCGTAGGCGTCTTCGATCCGCAGCCCCCTTTTGATTCATCCAAGGGGTGCCTGGCGTGTCAAATCCTCTCGGTTTTGGTTCTGGTTCCTTTTCCAAAAGAACTCCCCCTGGGGCTGAGGCGCGTCCCGCCGGCCACCCGGAAAGGCGCTCAAAACGCATCCGTCGTGCCTCTGTTTCCTCCAGTTGGCGCAAGATGGCGTCCAATACGGCCAAGATGGCCCAGGATGGTCTCCAAGACGTCTCCAAGACGGCCCAAGATTGCCTCCAAGACGGCTAAGATGGCCCCAAGATGCCTCCAAGACGGCCCAAGATGGCCTCAAGATGGTCTACGACGGCCCAACAGGCCCGCAAGAGGCCTCCAAGACGGCCCAAGAGCCCTCCAAGACGTCCACCAGGAAGGCCCGAAAGGGCCAAAATCCCATAGGTTTTTGCAGGATTTTGGCATTCGCGCCTTTTCGGCTTTCCGACGGCCCAAGACGGCCCAAAAGGCCCCCAAGATTGCCCCAGAGGCCCCAAAAAGGGCCCCATGACGGCCCAAGTGGCCTCCAAGACGGCCCCAAGAGGGCCCCAAGACGGCCCAAGAGGCCTCCAACACGCCCAAGATGGCCTCCAAGACGCCCAAGATGGCCTCCAAGACGGCCCCGAAGCGCCCCAAGAGGGCCCCAAGTCGGCCCAGACAGGCCCCCGAAACGGCTTCCGATAGCGTCAGACGGGCCAGAAGCCCACCAAGATAGCCGAAGGTGGCTCGCAGCTGGCCCAAGACGGCCCAAGGGGCCTCCCAGAGGGCCTCCAGGAAGGCCAGAAGAGGCCGAAAACCTTGATGTTCCTAAGGTGTTTGACGGATTTTGACATTTGCTCCTTTTCGGCCTTCGGACGGCCTGAGACGGCCCAAGAGCTCCCAAAGATCGCCCAAAGATCGCCCAAGAGGCCTCCAAGATGGCCCCAGAACGGCCCAAGGGGGCCCCAAGACGGTCTCAAGAGGCCCCCAAGACGGCCCAAGAGGCCTGCAAGACGCTCAAGATGGGCATCCAAGACCGCCCTGGAGCATTCCATGAGGGCCCCAAGTCGGCCCATAGAGGCACCCCAAACGGCTTCCGACGGCGTCAGACGGACCAGGAGCCCACCAAGACTGCCGAACATGGCCTTAAGATGGCCCAAGACGGCCCAAGAGGCCTCCCAGAGGGCCTCCAGGAAGGCCCGAAAAGGCCAAAATCATTGATTCCCCATGGGTTTTTGAAGGATTGTGGCATTTGCTTTTTTTCTGCCTTCCGACGGCCCGAGACGGCCCGAGTGCCCCCAAAGATCGCCCAAGAGGTCCAAGACACGGCCCCAAGAGGCCCCCAAAGTGCCCAAGAGGTCTCCAAGACGCTCAAGATGGCCTCCAAGACGGTCCAAGAGCCCTCCAAGACCTCCTCCAAGAAGGCCCGAAATGGTCCAAATGGCGTCCAGACGGCCAAGATGACCTTCAAGGTGCCCACGTGTTCCCCGAAGGCTTTCCAAACCGATTCGGGGAACACATGGTCCGATAGCTTGGCAGGTCTGGCTACAACCTTCGGCCACACAGGCGCTTCCACAAAGGCAGGGGGCGGCGGTGATTCGCCGCAGGCGTCTACGATCCGCTGCCCCCTGTGGTCTTGCCTCAGGGGTGCACGGCATGCTAGATGTTTGGTGTTGTTGGTACTTTGAAAGTTTCCCACCGGCCTCCGGCCCAGCCCGCCAGACACTCGAGGAGACCCGAAACTCCCAACACCATCGCCCAAGACGGCCAAGATGGGCTCCAAGACGGTCCGCCGCCTCCTGTGGTCTTGCCACAGGGGTACCTGGCGTGCCAGACCCCACTGGTTTGGTTTCGGCTCCTGTCCCAAAAGCACTCTCCCCCTTAGGGCTGAGGCCCAGCGCGCCGGCCACCCGAGATGGCCCGCCCGCTGCGCCACCACTATCTCCCAAAACGGCCGTTTCGCGAGGGACATCCTCAGGAGTGGCTCCCCGTGAGTGTTCGGTGTGTTCGGTTTCGCGCGCCTCTCTTTCGCAAGATAAGCCAAGACGCTCCTCGATGGCCCTCGCCTGGGAAGATGGCACACGCCCGAGCGGGGCCAAGAAGAGGGCCCACCGCCGCCGATTGCCCGCTCCGCCCCTGCGATCTCGGTCACCCTCCCCCATCCTCCTACAGTGGGGGCCGATCCACAAGAAACCTTCCACAAGAAACCCAACCCGGAGACCCCAGGACGTCCATCGATTTTGGTGTGGGAACGTCACACTTCCCATCGAAAAACCATCGAAACCCAAGAAACCCAGGGCATCCTGGAGGCGAGCAGGGTGTTTCTTGGCATGGGCCTCCACTGTATCCTCGCCTGGCAGGTGGGCGAGGATGAGGATGAGGAGGAGGAGGAGGAGGACTAGAAGGAGGAGGAGGAGGAGGAGGAGGACGAGGAGGTGGAGGAGGAGGATGATGTTTCTTAGCATGGGCCCCCACTGTATGCGAGGCCCCCGCGCCCGACCGCCCCTGCCCGCCCAGGGCGCGCGCTGGCGACAGCCCATATGTGGCAGAGAGCCTCGCAGAACTTGGCGCGGCTGTGGCGGCTGCCGGGCCAACAGCTTGCCATCGCTCGGACGTCCATTCCCCGCGCGTTGTTCGGCGTCGTGAGCTTCTGTTTCGCACGATGGTCCAGGATGCTCATCGACCCGCCGAACAAAAAGGCACGCGTCGGAGCGATGCCAAGACAAGGGTCGGGAAAGCTCCCCCCCTTCTTTCCCTGCACCCAGACCAAATCCCCGGACCCAGACCCCTCCCCGCCCCTATCCCCGCCCCCATCCCGTTTCCCCGTGCCCAGCCCCACGGGCGGCAGGCTCCCCCTGCACCTGTTCCGGGTGGACCAGATCGACCTGCACCTCCCGGGTAGAGCAGTCTGATCTCAGCTGGTGTCGTTTGCCGTGTCGGCCCCAAGCTAAACTTCATCGGTCAAACATCCTCCTCCTCCTCCTCCTCCTCCTCCTCCTCCTCCTCCTCCTCCTCCTCCTCCTCCTCCTCATACTCCTCCTACTCCTCCTACTCATCGTACCCCTCCTCCGTTTCCGCCGCCGACACCTCTGCCTCCTCCTCCTCCTCATCCTCCACCCCATCGGCAACCTCCACCTCTTCCTCCCTCCTCCTCCGCCTCCCCCTCTTCTGGCGACGACGACAACGACGACGACGACGCCTGGGCCCCCCTCGCCCAGGGAGGCAGCCGCCCCTCCCCGCCCGGGCAGTGCCGTGCGCCCCAGCGATCAGCGATCCTCCACCTGAGCGCCGCTGCTAGGGCCCGTAATCGTTGTCGTCATCCCCCCTCTCCTTCTCCTCCCCCTCCTCCTCCTCCTCCTCCTCCTCCTCCTCCTTGTCCTCCCCCTCCTCCACCGTCTCCTCCTCCTCCTCATCATCATCATCATCATCATCATCATCCTGCTCCTCCTCTACTTCCTCCTACTCTTCCTCCTTCCCTCCTCATCCTCCTCCTACTGCTACTACTACTACTACGACGACGACGTCTACTACTACTACTACTACTACTACTACTACTACGACGACGACGACGACGACGACGACGACGACGACGACGACGACGACGACGACGACGACGACGACGACGACGACGACGACGACGACGACGACGACGACGACGACGACGACGACGACGACGACGACGACGACGACGACGACGACGACGACGACGACGACGACGACGACGACGACGACGACGACGACGACGAC